GACCTCCGCGGCCGCGCCCAAGCAACCGGCCAAGTCCTCTGCTACCTCCCCCTGACGGCAGCCGAGCAGGAACAGCTGGGCAGCATGCCCGTGCTGCTAAACATGAGTACCGGAATGTTTATAATCCCACCGCGGAACCATATCTTAAAAGTCGCGCGCCACGGCTACGGCTACACGAACCCCTCCTCCATCTCCCTCCCCATCCCTACCTCTACACCACCACAACAACAGCAACAACAAATGCTACACACACAAACCACCATCAGCACCCCCCTCACAACCCACGACACCCCAACCCTCACCGTCCCCCCCCGAAGGCGAGCAAGCCTGCCGCCTCGCGCTCCGCGAAATGATCCCCGCACTCGCCGACCGGCCCTTCACCGCATCGAAAATATGCTGGTACACCGACACGCCAGCGGGAGATTTCCTGATAACGTACCACCCTGTGCACCGCGGCTTGTTTCTCGCGACGGGCGGGTCGGGACATGGATACAAGTTCCTGCCGGTGATTGGCGAGAAGATCGTGGATACGATTGAGGGGAGATGTCCCGAGGAGTTTCGGGGGATGTGGGGATGGAGGGATGAGCCGGTTGAGAATGTGGTGACGGAGGATGGGAGTAGAGGGGGGAGGATGGGCATGGTGTTGGATGTGGAGATGGGGAAGAGTGAGAAGGGGAGTAAGTTGTAGAGGGCGGGGCATGAGAAGGGTTAATAAGGGGGCGTATATTGGATAAACGGAGACGAGGCATGTCACATAGAACAAGAGATCACATATAGACAAGACAGCGAGTATTTATATCGTGATAGAATTGTTCTATTGGTATGGTGAGACCACTCCTAGAGCGAATTCGTGACAGCCCATCGCCGACGACCAGTCTCGATAGTGTAGCAGGAAGACCCCACTCCATCATCTCAACTAGGTATCTTGAAAGTGCGAGAGAGAATGGGACAATCACCACGAAATTATTATTTGATAGGCCAGCAAGACTTCCAAACGTCCATCTTCAGCTGCCTTTGTGTCAGTCTCGACTAGTGCTCTCCTCAGTGCGCGCGAGAAAATGCGAGAACACCGCGAGCAAATTAACACTTTCTTTCGTGTATTGTAAGGGTCAGAAGAGAAGCAATTAAGACGGCATCTTCGACCTGCGCACATGCCATCGCCGAAATGTGTAAGGGTGGTTGTGCAATCTATGTTCTTCGGGAAAACAAGGTGACGCATGCTAAAAGACCAAATGTTAAGAGTCCCCTTCTCGACTCCTTCCTTTAACGCCGGTGCAATGCAAAATGACAATCGGGAAGCAGATGATGACTACCGCTTGACGAAAAAGAGATGTCAAGTCGGTCAGGGGGGTCCATCGCCAAATGCTTATTTTTGGGAAAAGGTCGTGGAACTCGTGAAATCGCAGATACTTGTACAAGTTGGGTTATGGGTGCGGTTGAGGTGTTGGTACATCGACGGTAGAGGTTGAATGATTAAACCGCGATGCGATCGGCAGAGCCAATCAGACTTTCTTGAAATCTGGGAGGAGATTAGTAAATGCGCGACGACAAGAAAGCCGAAGAACATACCCTGAAGCACCGGGTAGATCATTTCAAAGGCCTGGTAGATCTCTTCCCGAACCTTCGCACCAGTCAAGACAATCTTGCCAGAGACGAAGATGAGGAGGACGATCTTGGGCTTGATCATACGGTAGATCAGACCAGGGAACAATTCAGGCTCGTAAGAGCTGAAATTGTGATGGCGCGAAGCAAGACCTTCCAAGCGGATAGGGAACTTGATGTCGCAGGAGCCGACAATGTTTTGGATCTTGAAGTCCGTGAACTTTGCATTGAAGCCGAGCTTTTGGATAATGCGCGCATACTTTCGTGATGCTAGCTTAGAGTCGTCCTCTGACTTTGCTCCAGTAACGACCATCTTGCCTGATGCGAAAATCAAAGCGGTAGTCTTGGGCTCACGAATGCGCATGATAACAGCGGCGAAACGCTGGGAGGGTTAGCAAGAACAAACGGGTTATAGCAAGCGCCTAGAGTCAGCAAGTACCTTTGGGTTATATTCAGCGTTCCTTGCATGCAGGGCGATCGTCTTGAGGTCCAAACGGCAATCGAGATTGACCGTGGCAACGATGTTTCTTCACATGCGAGATAAGCCTCATGTATTTGAGATGAGGCTTCAGGGTAATACATACTGCAAAGTAGGAACGATACCACTCACACCCGTCTGCGCCGTTGTGCCTGGTGTCGCAGCAGGTGTCGCGGGAGCCACCCCGTTGCCTACATGGCCTTGAGCAACCTGCGGTTGACCAACGTTCATCTTCTGTCCATTTTGCTTGTCCGCCTCTGATGAGGGTGGGGTCAGTTCACCAGCACCACCTGGGAACGACAGCGAGCCGGGAGCGATGAAGGTCTTGGCCTGGGCGGCGTTGGACGGGTGTGTCTGGATTTGATCCATCTTGAAAGAAGTATGTGCTTCTAAAAGAGAGTCGAGATGATGAGGAGCAGTCTGCAAGGCTGAATGTCAGATGGTGTGCGATGAGGCTGAGGCTTTCAGACGATTTGTGCGCGACTCGAAAACGAGGTGTAAAAAGGATGTGGTGAGGATATGAAGATTCGCCTTCTTATACTTGTTTGCCGAAGAGAGGGAAGGCGATCGTACCGTTATGTGGGAGATAAACAATTCAATGTCTCCCCTACAGTATCTGCTTTGCTATCGATGGATCGATTTATTGACCGCCGACGACAAGAATAAGATGGATGTGATGCGATGTGGTACTACGGAGGGGTACAGGACGCAATCAAATGCGACGCTGTTCCAAAGCTGAAGGCCGAACCTGTCGCAAAGAGATAGACAAAGCCGACCGCGAATGGATCGGAAATTGAAATAGGTCTTTTGTGTGCGCGTTTCTTCACCTCCTGCTGAATGAATGTAGTGATACAGAGCACTGTGATCTGTACGCTGTATTGTGGAGAAAAGGGTGAAGAGACAGGGTGGTTGGAGATGGAGATGGAGATGTGGATTGAGTCGAGTCGAGGCGGCGGGCGATGTTTTGATGCGTGAATGAAGATTAGACCCAATTACGCGAGAAGGCTTCCAAAATATTCCTGGGGGGAGGAGCGACCTCTTTATACTGCCGAGTGGAAAGAAAGTGGCGTTCGCGCCACTCTTTTTTTGGGACCAGGGCCTGTTAGCGCGCCATCTGGACCCAATTAGCGGGAAGAAGAGTGTGGGTCCGCCCCTTATGAAACCAGTCGCAACCAGAAAAAAAAATAGGAGAAGACACGGCCGGCGTACATGGTAGTGTACGAAATAGCTCCGTAGTTTGTACTGTATATCGTGCACGGCCATTATTATACTATATCTTGGGATAATTACGATTACAGTACGCTTCAGGAGAAGATACGAAGTATGGAGTAGAAGATAAGCTACTTCGTGCTTGTCTTACTCCATCGTGAGCCTCATCGTCACTGGGTTTTTAAAGTTGGGGTTGGAATGCAATATTGCTATGATGCTATGATGGATTGCGACGGCCACCCGCCTTCCCTTTCCTGCCCCCCCCCCCCCCCCCCCAACGGCACAGTGAATGCAAAGAAAGGATGGGCATGTCAGGAAATTGCACTTCCGATCTACCTAGGTACATTCACATTCACAGCCACAGCAAGTTATGAAAACTCTATATTACTCTTCTTTCTTTCTTTCTTTCTTTCCTTCCTTCCTCCTCTTCGCATCTTCGCATCTTTGCAGGTGAACAATATGTTCTCTTCACCAGCATATTGTACTCGGTGTTCTGTTTCACTCTACCTTCGTACTGTACTGTACATCAAATTGTGAGAAGGCTGAGCGAGGCACAGAAAACAAGTGGACACGATTCATGCACTCTGACTGTGACTCACCCCACCCACACCAAGTAAATCGCAGTCGCAGTCGCAGCGCTACCCAAGCCAAGCCAAGCCAAGCCCAGCCCAGCCAAGCACAAGCCCAAGCAATGTCCGAACCCCTGCAGCCCTCGAAAGGGGGTAGGGGTTCAGCAAAGCATAAATAAATTTATGAAGGGAAGGATGTCTGAGAAGCGTCTGGTCTGGTCTGGTCTGGGAAGGGAAGCATATCTCCATCCTTCATCCTCTAGTAAAAGCAGTGAGAAGGAATCCAGAAAAGGTAACCACCACTCAACCGGTACTTGTACGATATCGTGACTGGATTATTATCCATCATACTTGTATGTACAGCATAGAATATTCAAGCAGTCAGCAACCAATTATCTCACTCCTGTCTCCATCTCACCCACTTCTCGAGCCTCATCCTCGTGCAAAGCCTGGTGCATCTCGAGACTGATAAGCCAGCCCAAGGCGCCATCATCATTGGTTGACTGGCATAAATAATCACATGCATGTCATTCCATTCAAGCAGGAGTCAAGTCAAGCTAAGCTGTGCCGCCGCGTCGGGAATAACAGAAGTCCGCTCGCTTAATTGTCGCTTAACTTTTTATTGAAATGCAATGCTTCACGAGACGAGAATGGCAAAAAAAGACAAATGCAGAATGAAGACACCGATAGAATTCGGAGGAAAAAACAATAACCACTAAACCACATGAAAGAAATACAAAAAAATTGGTAGCTTCTCTTTGATTGAGCGTGTCATCCTTAGTGCAGGGGCCATGCTAATCTTCTCTGTATCGTTTCAAATTGACCAAATGCCCGAAGGCGACATGTTTTGGTTTATTTTAGCTTATATACCACACACCCCAGCCCTGAAGTAAGGCTAGCATTAAGGCTGCGCTGCCTCCCCTCCCCTCCACCTCCAAGTATTTAATCCTCTATCTCATCATCTACAGATCCCTTTCACGCATCATATTCTTTGTAAAGCTTTCACTACACTTGGAATCATGCACTTCTTCTACGACTCATAAAAGTAAGGGTTTATGGGGATATAGAAAAGCTTGCCCGGCGTCCAGCGTCCCAAGTATCTTGAATATGTCAAATACCGTAGGACATTCCCAGGGTTAGCTACAGAGTATATCTTTGAGGAACTTGCTGTCATAGACTTCAGCCTTGCGAAGACAACCTTGGTTTATGTTTTGGGCTTCTCTAAAGTTACACGGTACCTGTCTCTTCACATACAACTGACTAGAGAGCTCCAAGTGTGGAGTAGGCATTTGACGACAATATAAAGGACATGCAGGAGTTATAACACGCGCCCGGGCCAATATTAATACCAACGCCGCGAACAAATTATTCTATCTTGCCTCGATCGCTATATCCTCGCCATCCTATCTCTCCACGACTCCGCACTCTCTACCTCACCTCACCTCTTTTGAAGGGGTTCATAACACCCACAAAGGTAAGCTTGGTCACGACGGACGCCTCGTTGATTTGTTACGACGCTAAGATTTCCGCATCCCCTCACTTCTGTCCGCTACTATAACAGCAATATTCCACTCTCTATTACGAGGGCACAAGTACATTCATGCCATATTTGTCGACGAAGCCCGCGGCAGAATTGGTTCGTAAGCTTCAATTCATTACAAACAGCCGAAGTTAAAGAAACGAGACACGAATAG